CATCTGTACATATTTCCAGTCTCTTGTATGTTTTTTTTTTTTTAATTTCTTCAAATTCAAAACGCCATTATTTTGTCCCCAATAATGCCACTGTCAGTTTCCAGATGTGATTGTGCAGCCTGGCATTTCCTTGGCTCTCACTCATAGTGATGTGTGCGCTGCAACATTTTTGGCTGTAAATGGCTTTATGTTCCTTCGAAAATTACCTGCAAGAAGATAGAAACCCAGATTGGATTCACATCTCAGGAAATATATACAGATACGTTTTTAAGTTGATTTCTTTTTTTTTTTTTTTTTTTTTTTTTTTTTTTTTTAAAGCCCCAGCTGTCCTGGAACTCACTATGTAGACCAGGCTGGCCTTGAACTCACAGAGATCCACCTGCCTCTGTTAAGTTGATTTCTACTTCTGCTTAGGTACCAACTCAGGATGCCTGGTAAGCTCTTTCTGGAAATCATGTTGTCATGTTGAGGATGTCCCCAGACAGATGATAGAAAAGCAACATTCTCTGAGAGACTAGTCAACTTCACCAGCGCCCCTGCTTCCCAGTTAGGGAAGCCATTCAGGGAGGCCTCCGGGCCCAAGGAAGCTGTCTGTGCAGGAGGTAGAAAGAAATTCACGCAGGAAACAATCCCAGAACTTGAGGCCCAGTCTTAACCCCTCTGCAGTAGGATGTGGAACAGAAAGGGGTCTGAGAAGGCCGGGGCAGGATTTGCCTGGGACTTCCAGGGCTCTGCCTGGGGTTGGCAGCATTCTTGTTCCCCAAGTGACCAGGTGTATGGATGGCAAATTACTCTTAGGCCACGTCCTGTCTCCACTCTGTGGAGACCAGTGGGTGAGGCTGTGTGGGCTCTGCTTGGAGGACACTCGGGACCCTCAGTCTGAAACTCCCTGGCAGGCTCCTCCTTCATCTTCCCCTTGAGCCCGGAGGGGCCAGGCTGTAGGGAGCAGCGGGGCCTGACCTTGAAGTGGGCAGCCCGGGCTGCAGAAATCCATGTGTTTCCTGGGTTGGCCAGGAAAGGATCAGGTTACCTTCTGGTCTGTAAGCAGTGGGGCTCCCTAATAAGCAGAGCCCAGCCTGGGGCTGACTGAGGGGGCCCAGCCGGTCTGCGGGCGGGCGGGGAGTGGGAGGGAAGCGCAGCAGGGCCCGGCAGCCAGCTCCCGGGAACACACCGGAGGAGGAGGAGGCCCGGAGGAGGGGCTGGTGGGGCCGGCCGCCGCCAGGGCTGGGCAGGGCGGGGCGAGACCCCAGGAGCCTGCGAGGCCGGGGCGCGGGGACCCGCAGGGGAGGCGCG